TTCGGTAAATTCAAAATTTCTCTTAAACCGTAAAAAAAATAGAGAGAGTGTTCTACATGAAAAAGTTGCGCCTCATCGATATCTTTCCAACGGCATATATTTGAAATCATTTCGACCAACAGTTTGTAAAAATTTCGCGAAAAACGCCACTGCCTCTCGTCGTCAGCCGCACGATTTTCAAAATTAAATTAAAATCGTTAGGTATCTCAAAAACATTTCAACATATGAAAGTTGCGCCTCGTCCATAGCTTTTCAATGGTGTATTACACGCCTCGTTTTGACAAACGGTTAAAAAATGGAGCAAAAACAGTATCAAAAATTTGATTTTTTTTGAAAAACAGAATTCCGCGGTTTAGTAAATTTGAAACTGCTCTTAAATCGTAATAAATTAGAGAAAATGATAAATATGAAAAAGATGCGCCTCGACGATATCTTTCCAATGGTGTATCATTTGCTTCGTTCCGACGAGCGGTTTAAAAGAAATCACAAAAAAAGCTCGCTGCCACTCGTCATGGGCGCACCATTTTCAAAACTGCTCTTAAACCGTGTGGAATCTCGAAAAGTGTTCAACATGTCGAAGTTGCGCCTAATCCATAGCTTTTCAACGGTATATTACACGTCTCATTCCGATAAATGGTTAAAAAACTAGAGCGAAAACAGTACCGAAAAAACGTGTGCAGTTTTTTTCAACGAGAAGTTCACTCGTGTGAGTACTGCAGCACACTTGGTTCGAAGAATGACGTGCACTTGCATTGAGCGTGCAGTGCATAAGTGTTATCAGAATAGTTATTCTACTAATATTAGCAGAATAGACTGGCTATATATATGAGACATGTGGGGTAATATATATACTACTTTATCATTTTAAATATATATATATGAGACATGTGGGGTAGTTACCCCATATGTCTCATATACTACCATATGGTAATATATATACTACTTTATCATTTTAAATATATTCATATACTATATTTAAGATATTTCAAAGCAAGTTACATGAAAAAATTATATATGAACCCATAGTTTTTGTTATATTTGTGAAATACGTACATATTTGTACGTAAAAAAGAGCATACTCAAAACATGGTATATACTACCTAAAAATTAGTATATATACTACCTAATCATTGTTATATACTACATACTACACGTACATACTCTCAATTTTGATAGATACTACATACAACATACAAAACACAAGTGGTGGTAACTACCACTGCTTGTAGGAAACATTTGTCCTATATATATATATATATATATATATATATATATATATATATATATATATATATATATATACACTCTACTTTATTATTTTTAGTACCATATGGTAGTATATACTCTACTTTATTATTTTTTGTTCATATACTATATCTAACATACTCCAAAATGAGTTATATGAAAAAATTGCAAGTGAGCTCATGGTTTTATTGTATTTGTGAAATACGTACATATTTGTACGCGAAATAGAGTATATTAAAATATGATACATACTACCAAAAAAGTAGTATATATACTACCTAAACATTATTATATACTACATACTACGCGTACATACTCTCCGATATGATAGATACTACCTAGAACGTATTAAACAAAAGTGGGAGTAACTATATATATCCATGAGACTCAAGCAATAAATATTGATTCCACCAATCCCTCTGTATCCCTTTTAACACAGCCACTGTTACATCATTTAGTAGCAAGAGAGAAAGCCTCCTGACAGAAAATTTACACGTCAAGGGATAACAATCATGAACTGGGCGTAGCTTAGATGGTTAGGTTTCTTGTGGGGAACCAGCCCACTTAGGTTCACCGGTGCTCGCATTTTTCTGAATTTATTCCAGACTTTCCAGCGATGCTCATTCAGTGGGAGGAGACGTTCCCGTCAACTACAAGGCGGCTATACTTACTTCGCCAATCCTAAGATGTAAAGTCGGCTCGGTATCTCAAAGGTTTGGTGTGTGTGCGTGTTCATATGGTGAATGTATGTACATGTATATGGGCATATGTGATTGTATTGTGTTAGAAAAAAGTGATAGCAATCATCGCAGCAACATGGCCTGTAGAACGGCCTCCTTCACTAATCATATTAGTAACCTCATGAATTGTTCGAATTGTTGTAGCCAATTGTTTGTACAAAAGAAAGTCCATCAGTGCAATAACTTCAGCACAAAGAACACCGGTACAAAAATCAATCTTTCAATTTTTGTATTTATAAAGTTTCCTTTGTCATTATGATTGCAACATTCATCCCATTGAAAGGGCCCTTATCATCCGTATGATTACATCAACTGTTCCATTGCAAAGGGCCCACTATGTCCTCTTCTTCGGGCTCGCCGATACGAGACACACTACCACGCCTTCTCTGGCCCTCGGCCTCCGATCGATCCCACGGCCATGCCTCGCAGGGATCTTTCTCTGTCGTATATTTTCTCCGAGCTTCTTCCTCATCCACCCCTTCTCTGGTCGGGGCACATATTTGAATTCTTTGTGATGAGGTTGTTGTGGTAGGAAAGTGTAGAGTTTAACAAGTACTCCCTCTGTTTTGAATTATAAGATGTTCTAACTTTATTCCGAATCAAATATATATAAGAGATGTTTTAGTGTGTTTGTTCACTCATTTTCAGTCTGTATGTAGTGCATATTGAAATATTCAAAACATCTTATAATTTGGAATAGAGGTAGGATAATCTAGTGAAGTGGGAGGGGGTGTGTCAACCAATAGACCAGGGAGGCCTGGGGTAGTTGATCTAAACATTATGAACAAGTAACTTCTTAGCAAATGGCTGTGGCAATTTGAAAATGAAGGGTTTATGGCAGGATTTAGTTAAGAATAAATACTACAGTAAATATTTAATTGTTAATGTGCAGAGTAAACCTACATTTTTCTTTTAAAGGTATTTTGGATTGTAGAAAAGACTTCAATAGATTTGTGAAAAATAAGTGGGAGATGAGATGGATACAAGATTTTGGGAAGATGTTTGGATCACTAATAAACCTTTTGAGTGTCAAATTTCCTAGACTTTACAATGTTAATTTTAACTTTAATATTACTGTGGTTAAGGCCCTTGTGGAGGGCTGGAACGGTAATAAAGTTTAAAAGACATTTTATAGGGGAGCTAGAGCTTGCTTGGAATCAAATACAGGATCTGTGTGATGGGATAGAGCTTTTATAGTGAGAAAGATAGGTGCATTTGGAATCTTACTTCCGGTAAATTCACAATGAAGTCGATGTATTTGATGCTAAAGGCGCTATAGGTTAGTGTCCTTTTAGAAGATTGTGGTTCATTAAAGTGCCTTTAAAAAATAAAGTATTTCTTTGGATACTGTTCAAAAATAGAATTGTAACTAAGGATAATTAACTTAAGCGAGGTTGGACTGGTAGCATGAAATGCATGTTTTGTGATGGTGGTCAAATTATAGACACATCTGCTTATTCACTGCCCGCAAGATAAGCATTGGAGGGGGGGGGGGTGATTAATTGCGCCTTATGAATCTAGGAGATGTTAATGAGTTGTGTGCTTGGATTATTAACTTTCCTCGTGAATTGAGAGGTCTAGGTGCTGCGATTTGGGATATTTGGAGATGTCTAATGCTTGTTTTAGAAATTTTTATCCCTATTATCCAAGCAGTGTGATAGCTCAAGCGGCTCACTGGCTTGAATTTTGGTCTGGATTGCAGTTTCTATGCTTTCATTTTTTGGTTTTCTTGGAGCAATGTGTGATCCTGGTGACTAGGGTAGTATGAGTGATACAATTTTTTTATTTAGTTATATGTTGGTCGAACCTTTGGATCGACCGTATCTCGTTGTATTATCAATTTCATTTCCCCGGGTAACGAAATTGGGGGCAAAAGCTCCTTAATTCGAAAAGAAGTTGCGCCACCGCGAACCGAGAGGAGGATCAGCTCGAGCTCGGTGCCGATTACTTCATAAACAATAAGGAAATGAAAATGGGAAATTGTGTTGTTTTTTCTGGAAAATGCATAATTTCTGAATTCGCTATTTCCAAATTGATTCTGGCAGATATGATTTGGATAACGAGATGGCTAAACAAATTGAACAGTAAGCTTGACCTGACGCAAATTGAATATCATGCTAGGCTAATACTAATTGAATGTCTTCTTCACGAGTCATGTTTTCCTACCTTTTCTCTAACTTGCAGCCACTATTTTTTCGAGGCACCCGTTCCCCCGAGGGTGTTCGTATGGTTTGTTGCCATTTTGAGCTCCTTCTTCATTTTGTGGTAATTGTATTGTATCCACTGCCAGTTTTGGCTGAACTTGTGATTTTGCCGCTCTTTCGTTAGGTACTCAATTTGCTGGAACAAATCCGGTTTGCGTGAATTTGTTTTAGGAACAACCGGGAGAAACACAAGGTGCGTCTTCAGAGGCGGGCATCCTTTACCCTCCACTGAGTCACTGCTCTGCAAGTGAGAGAGTCTCATTCCTAGCATTCTGATGCGAACCTGTCATGATAGTATGTGCTTTGATGGAAGGATAAGATTGGCAGAGGCCTTCATGTCACTAGAACATCTCTTACTAACAAAATCCCAGCGATTTCCCGACTTCACTGTGGTTTCTTTGTGGGGTTCCAAGCCTGTTTACTGCGAGCACACTACGGTCACCACTAACACAGCCATGTCACAAATTTTCTTTGCAAGTGGTCATAAGAGTAACAACATATGACTTCTGTGCAACGAAGGCCACGAAATGATTCTGTTCAGACAGGAAAAACAACAGCATCCTGCATAGCACAGAACAGTAACATGGAACACTGTACAAGGCGTGATTTTGGGCCTTCCACACTTCAACGAAAATATTTACCCTGAAACTTATCTCTAACCCTTACCACTGCACAAAGAACCTGGATGCTAACAAATCAGAAACCCTCACATCGCACGGAACGCAGAAAACAGCACAAAAGAAGAAGAAATAAACTCTCTAATGTACTCGTCACCATCTCCCCGGCCCCTATAGATGCTCCTCGCCGATTCTCACAGAGCCTGGGGATTCGGAACTCCGGACGGGCTCGGCAGGTTGCTCATGCTCGCGGTTCGGAGGAGCTTGCGGAACTCGGACAGGCTTATCCGCCCGTCCTTGTCGATGTCGGCCTCCTCCAGCAATGGCTCGATGGATCCCTTTAAGCCCGTGTGCTGCACATTGGAATAAAACCCCAGTGAGAATGCTACCAGTCACAGTTAGTTTCTATGCTGCAGTTGTCGGTACTACTAGCATAATGCCCGTGCGTTGCTACAAAACTATAAAATACGAGGAGTTAGGTCACTGGCTTAGGAAATTGTCAAAATACATTGGCGTCATGCGGCCTTTGCTCGCGGTTCACTATTAAAAAGAACAAAAATACAACAAAGATCACGCGTCAGGAATTGAAGAATCTTAAGTGACCATGGTCCTTTAAGACACACCATTTCGAATGTTGAAACATATGAGAATAGTCAATAGACATTGGTAAGTTGACTGCACAAGGTCGTGGATCAGGTAGGAGGACAAGGTCCATCGTCGTTTTGGAATTACACTCTTCTTCTGTGATATAAAACTGAAATAACTTGGTTGGAAAGAAAGAAAAGTAAAAAGAAAAGCAAGAGCATTATATTGAGTTGACGTCGCATTTCTGCATTTGTTATTTGTGCCTAAGTGTTAGTCTCAGATGAATAGTGTATTGTTTATCTGTGTTTGGTCCCACATGTGAGTACAAATACATTTGTTTATTTATGTTCATGGAAGGTTGCTATTCTCAATGTGGGTGCATTTGTTTTGTTGGTCTCACATGTGAACTCACCACCAACTCCAACCTTTATAAGGCCCTCTTTGATTCATAGGATTCTCAAAACGCAGGAATAGGAAAAATAAAGGATTGGAGTGACATGCCCAGTTGCCCACTTGAATCCCATAGGATTAGCACAGCAAAAACAAAGTGAAAAAGAGGTAGGAGTGGATGCTAGATGTCCAATGAAATCTAGTACACATGATTCCATAGGAAAAATTCCTATAGGATTCAACGACCAATGTAGGAAAAAATCCTAAGGATTCTAATCCTTCAAAAATCCTATGGATTTCCTTTGAATCAAAGGAGCCCCAAGTAGGAAAGATACTGTTAGGTTTGTCTCGGTAAATAAATATTTAGGCTCTGAAATAGTAGTCCAAATATAAATGCCGAAGCATGCAACGTGGACAATCAAACAGCCTTCAAATCTGGGAATGCACCTGAATGGACTACAACCCGATGCATACTTCCTTTTTATGGTGGAAAAATCTTAATTTCTATGTGCAAACTCGAGGAATTACTCCATTCACTGAATATGAAGAACCAGATAGTTGGAAGCAAAGCACAATATGGAACGTCACCATTCATGAGAAAAAGAAGTGCAAAAATGGATTATGTGACATGATGCGTGAATCCAAGAACCAACATGAACACAATAGGAATCAGAACTTACCATTCTAAGTTCATCGGGGGTGATGTATCCATCACCATCCAGATCAAATTTGCTGAAAGCAGCTTGGCAGCGCAGGCCCCACCTTTCAGAGTCCAGCTCAGCCATCTGATGTATGTGGAGAGTTGCCGCAACAAACTCTTTGAAATCGACAAGGCCATCCGTGTTGCTGTCGATCTACCATAAAAATAAGATCAGTTGAGGTTTGTCAACTGCTTGCTGCGCATGGTTTTCGAGTCGCGACTCATGCGAGTCGCTCTGGGGCAGTGACTCGGAAGAAGTCGAGCCTGCGTTGTGACTTGAGTCGCAAGTCGACACTAAGCTGAGTCGACCATATTTTTGCGACTCATAGACTAGTCGTCGACTAGTCGCGACTAGTCGAGCGACTCGAAATCCAGGTTGCTGCGAAATAAAAGGGAGACCGAAAAGAAGTCTCTCAAAGCTTACCGCTTGAATGATCTCAAGAACACGAGGGCCCTTCAATCTCCAAGGAAGATCCTTCGCAAGGGCCTATTGAAACATACAAAGATCGTCAGCACCATCCAGTACCAGTGCAAAATGTTCACATATAAAAACGACTCTAAATCTTACATGCCGCATTTCTTCAATGCTAATTGATCCACTTTTATCAACGTCAATAGCATCGAATTGGTCCTTTAGATCCGCTAGCTCTTCCTCATTGACTGTACTTGCTAATGCCTGAACAAGCAATGGAGCAATATTTGTAAGGAACAGAATGAGAATACCATAAAAATATTTTTGAGACCGTGATGCTTACCCGCAGCGCAAATTGCTTAAAACGGCTGTACTTGACAAATTGGCGCATGTTATACAACACAGATATATCGACAGGGATCTCAGATGCATCTCCTCCTTCTCTCACCCATGGATGTGCTAATCATGTCAAGCACAATCAGAATTAGTAAACATGAAAGATGGTGAGTACTAGACATTCTTGCTGCAATCATCTTCCTAACTTGATGCTTAAAAAGTTTAAGCTACATGTTAACACCATATGTCTTTCTACAACCAAGTAAACTCCTATAAGATGATACAGCCTGGAAAAAAATGGTATTGCAGCAGACATCCAGTGTTTGACCTCACTAAAAAACCAAATAAAACTGAATAACTCACATGTGTTTTTTACATTTCATAAGGCTTCTTTTTTAGAGGACTTTATGTTACTCCAAAATCAGAATGCAACATCTGATTCTAGCATATTTTGAAAATCCCAGAAAAATTTCGTGATGAAAGACAGACTTGTCCTCAGGCTGTATGTATGCACAGCACTTGGCATGCAGATTGCAGACTTACTCATGTGCATTCTTTTTTGGCACTATGTATGTGCGTGTTCTCTCACGCAGAAAACAAGAATAGGCAAAAAATGCAACCCTAAGCATCATGTACACTAGCAAAGTATTGACATTATATTGGAACTTACAGAGAGCTTGAGCTGCTGTCAATCTCGCCCTTGGGTTCTTCACCAGTAATTTTTTAACAAAATCTTTAGCACTTGAACTGATGCTTGGCCAAGGTCGCTTACGGAAATCAGGCTTGTTTCTTAGAACCTGATTAAAAGAAATTAATAGAACACATAAGATCATGTATGCTATCAAGATTCTGTCTTTGCTGATATACATGCATAGAAATATTACACACAAAAAAAAATTGATGGTAGATTGAAGTGGACAGGCATATTACCCAACACCTTTTACTTGTAGAGTAAAATGTTTAACTTATGGTTATTTTCTAAATTAACTACAAATGTTCTGTCATGGCATGTGGGCCAGACTTTCTAGCAAGCCAGTAGGAAAGGCAGTAAATTGTTCTTTTTTTTGAAATACCCAGAATATTTAGACATGTTTTAAAAATAGTTATAACATAATTTGGCTGGAAAAATTATACCAGGAGGTAGTACTATAAATTTCTATGTTTAGGTGCCTGTCTTAAACTAAGGGGCTGTTCGGCATCGCTCCGCTCCACAGCTCCCGGAGCGGAGTTGGCGGAGCTGTAGGTCAAAATGGTGGAGTTGCCATTTACCCGCTCCGCAGATTACCGGAGCGGCCCATTACCGAACAGGGCCTAAGGCAATATACAAATTTCCCAGTAGCTATACCAGCAGCTATGCACAGATTGCCTGAGAGGATTGGCACCATAGATTGTGCATTTATACATGGTATTAAATAAAAGTGGACAATATTTTTATATATTCATTTCTGAGATGGCTAACGGTTGTATATTAACACGTCCAAATGATGGTAGGCAATTTAAGACTGCATTAAAAGGACAGACCCAGTGCTTAGAAGCTCCCACACCAGGTGGGGTCTGGGGAAGGACTACACAATTTAAGACTGCATTGTGTCAAAGAAATTGGCAGGCATCAGCTATACAGAAATTGCCTAGAGAGCAGAGACTGCACATGTTTAAGGTAACATTGCCACATTACATAGTGAAAAAGTTGCAAAAAACACAGCTTCTCCACTTTGTCAGTTCACTGAAAACACTATGATAAAGCTCACCACAGTCACCAAGCACAATTTACATGGAAGCATAACCAATGCAACACAATCCATTTACCTCCTTGAATATGCCATCCTCTGTTTTATCCCAAAAGGGGCGCCTCCCACAGAGCAAAATGTAAGTTATAACTCCTATGCTCCAAACATCCGACTCAGGTCCAGACCGCCGTTTTAATACTTCTGGTGCAACATAATAGGCACTGCCAACTATATCACGGAACTTCTTCCCTGTAATCATGTATTTAAGCGATGTATGAGCCAGAGCAATTACCGAGTTCGATGCCCCGTTAAGATTTGATGCGACAAGATACACATAACAATGATGCACATATACAAAAGACACTGAAGCAGGTACCTGGTTTTATGAAGTCTGACAAACCAAAATCTGTTGCCTTCAGAGGCGAGTCCTCCTTGGTTGATTTGAAAAGGAAGTTCTGGGAAGGAAAATAGGCACATTCTTACATGACCTGAGAAGTAGTGAAGTATCACCAAAACTGTATGCTAAGTGCCAAGACATCAAAAGCAATCGATTTTTACCTCAGGCTTCATATCTCGATGGACTAACCCACGCAGATGACACTCAGCAGCCACTTTGAGCATCTGCCGCACCACCACTGCAGCGTCTTTCTCACTATAGCGGCTGTTTTTTCTGTCAAAGGGTAAATGCCAGTGAGAACTGATTCTTCTTTTCACAATCAAAAGGTGATTAATGCAGACACCAAAAACATCAAGGCTAAAATTTGTGAGAACTAAAAGTCTAAAAGACACCACTAAATGTAGCAACCGAATGGCACCAGAAGAGAAAACGACATATGGAACAAGAAAAGCAGAATATATCTGATCTTACTTTGCCAAAATCCGGTCCAATAGTTCACCACCTTCACAAAGTCTGCAAGAAAAGGCAAAGAAGCAAGACTTAGTACTTGGTACTAGAGCATAGGAATGATTATTGATTATGCTTTTAAAAGAAAGAACTCCAAATATCCCTAAGCGTGATAGCCCAATAGATCATGATATATGCTAACCAAATATTTGTGATACAATGCAAGGAAACTGCGAAGAGTTCAAAACATACATGAGTAAGTGCGCTCAAAATTTGAGCATTTCATTACACTATACATATTCATATATTATAATGTCAAATTTAGATAGACAATACAGCTGGTCTACCCACAGTGTTATGAGGAATATAAACTTAATTTATCTCAGGACAAGACTTTGTCGAAAAAATCTCAGGACAAGACAGAATTACTAGGATTTAGAAGGAAAATTTCAGCAAGTGCATGCATGTGACTCTAGGAACAAGATATCATAATTTGTTTCGACAACTGTGGCAAAATAACACTGTTAAACCTGCAGACCATCATATCATTAAATGTTACTGAGAGCAAATTCTGCTAAATAAGTACAAGACTACTTACTCCATCACAATATACACATATGAATCGTCCTCGAATGCATTGTCGAAGTGAACAATGTTCTCATGGCCTTTAAGGGCTTTAAGAATCTTCACTTCTCTCTTTACATCTTCCACAGCAACAGGTCGGGTCATCTGTTATAAAGTCCATAAATATAATTATGTTAATCACATACTCCAAAGATGATGCAAAGCTGACAGATGTAAACATGTAATTGTACATTGCACGTATCCAAGATTTCAATTAGCTGCATGGATGAATATTAGCTGAACAAGACTCGACACCGTATCCATCTATAATAGAGGATAATGATTTATAGAACCATGTGCAATTAGCATTCATGCAGTGAAATCATTATGTTTTTATTAGTTATTATTATAGTTCGCAACATAGCAGTGTAGGTGCTACATTTTCTTTCCTTTGGAATAAGAGGTATAATTTCCACAGAAGGTTAATAACCAATAGTCAGTACACTTTCACAAGGATATCCTGCTGTCAACTTTCAATTGTTATGCATTCTGCCACAGAACGAACGGCCCATATTTCTAGCATACCTATGACCCGAATTTACCATGAAAGTCATTTAAGATTCCGTGGTGATTGAAATTTCCCTCAATGGCTTTGCATTTTTAGTACTCCCTCCAATCCATATTACTTGTCGCTCAAACGGATGTATCTAGATGTATTTCAGAGCTAGATACATCTGTTTGAGCGACAAGTAACATGGATCATAGGGAGTAGAAAATAATAAAGCAATACTGTCTTTTGAACCAAGGTACAAAGTCTTTGAATACATCAACACCGTGTTGATTAATACATGCATTCCCAGGTCAAACTGAGTGGAATGAAGAAAATGTCATCCGCCAATAACATGGAAGAAGCCAAGGAGACATTGTCCACTCCAGGAAATGGTTGGTGAGCTTACCAGGAGCAAAAGATTAGCTATCCTAAATGAACACCTACACCATATTATCCGTAAAGACTGCAAAAAATAATATCAAAACTAAAATCAAGGTTGAAAACGAAGACATATACGCTACGCGAAAACTGGAGCTCCATGTGAAATGTATTTCACAAAAATGGCGCTTCACAAGTTCTTAACAGGAACAAGAGACGCGGACAAGGTAGCGTACAAACTACTACTATCAACTATAACATTCTCCCTCTGAGGTTGGCATCTACGCAAACGGTCAGGAGTCAGGAGGAAGCGTCTTCACCATTTCGGGCAGAAGTAGAAGTACAGGTAGATGTGCCATTTTCAGGAGCAAAATTGGCGTGGTGAACAACTACTCAAGTGCCAAACCAGGAAGGAACCCGCGAAGATTGGCTTCACTCATGTACTGGACCCCCCAAAAAGGAAAGTGGACAGCTGCACCTATTGATGAATCGACAAGAGGAAGAGTGTAGGGCCTTGCCGACACGGAGGGTAGACCACCCTCCTCCACATATCATCAGCGACAGCAGCAGCATTCAGCAATTTCATACCGAGAATGGCGAGTAATTTCATTTCCCCCGTATAATAATCTATCTTCTAAAGTCTAAATCCGCGCAACGCCGCTGAATCGATGAGCCGAGTGATCTCAAGCTAGCTGAACGAATCACCCGACGACCGGCGGCGGCAACTGATACCGTCGCAATCTCCCGACCAAACGAAGACCGCGGGGAACCGAGCCGAACCGAGCTGCAGATGCGGGGGGAAATCCTGAGAAACGGACCTTGGCCTTGTCGATGCGCTTGACGGCGACGCGGTCCCCGGAGAGGCGGTCGACGGCGGCGAAGGTGTAGCCGAACTGGCCGTGGCCGAGCAGGCGGCCGACCTCGTACCTGCCCTCGAAGTCCCGCTCGTAGCCGAACTCCACCGCGGGCGCCTCCGCCGCGCCCTTCTCCTCGGCCTTGCCGCCCCTCGGCCGCTGCCGCCGCCGCCGCTCCGCGTCGGCCTCCTGCTTGGAGGAGGACAGGCAGGCGCCCATGGTGCCCGGTTCTCGTCGTGGCCGTACTCGTCGTCGGAAGGGTCGTCGTCGTCGTCGTGGTCGGGGGCGCGGGGGTTTGGGGGTGGGAGC